ATCTGGAAAGTTTAAAGAAAATTTATCAGTAGGATCTCAAAATAATCGACTTTTGTCAAATATCGTTCCGAAACCGCCAATTTGAGATGTTTTCATGAGTTTGAAGTCATATCTCAAGTTTGGCACATAGAAATTCGCCCAAACTTGCTCAGATTATCTGTCTCATAGCCATACAACTATCTGGAAAGTTTAAAGAAAATTTATCAGTAGGATTTCGAAATATGTGCCTGCGTTCTGCTATTCTGCTAGAACGCGCCAATTTGAGATATTTTCTTGTGTTTGAAGTCATATCTCAGGTTTGGCACATAGAAATTCGCCCAAACTTGCTCAGATTATCTGTCTCATAGCCATACAACTATCTGGAAAATTTAAAGAATATTTATCAGTAGGATCTCGAAATATGTGCCTGCGTTCCGCTAGAAACCGCCATTTTGAGATATTTTCTTGTGTTTGAAGTCATATCTCAGGTTTGGCTCATAGAAATTCGCCAAAAATCGCACAGAATATCCGTCTCATAGCCATACAACTATCTGGAAAGTTTAAAGAAAATTTATCAGTAGGATCTCAAAATAATTGACTTTCGTCAAATATCGTTCCGAAACCGCCAATTTGAGATGTTTTCATGAGTTTAAAGTCATATCTCAAGTTTGGCACATAAAAATTCGCCCAAACTTGCTCAGATTATCTGTCTCATAGCCATACAACTATCTGGAAAATTTAAAGAATATTTATCAGTAGGATCTCGAAATATGTGCCTGCGTTCCGCTAGAACGCGCCAATTTGAGATATTTTCTTGTGTTTGAAGTCATATCTCAGGTTTGGCACATAGAAATTCGCCCAAAATCACACAGATTATCCGTCTCATAGCCATACAACTATCTGGAAAGTTTAAAGAAAATTTATCAGTAGGATTTCGAAATATGTGCCTGCGTTCCGCTAGAACGCGCCAATTTGAGATATTTTCTTGTGTTTGAAGTCATATCTCAGGTTTGGCACATAGAAATTCGCCCAAAATCGCACAGAATATCCGTCTCACAGCGATACAACTATCTGGAAAGTTTTAAAAACATTTATCAGTAGGATCTCGAAATATGTGCCTGCGTTCCGCTAGAAACCCCCATTTTGAGATATTTTCTTGTGTTTGAAGTCATATCTCAGGTTTGGCACATAGAAATTCGCCCAAAATCGCACAGAATATCCGTCTCACAGCCATACAACTATCTGGAAAGTTTAAAGAAAATTTATCAGTAGGATCTCGAAATATGTGCCTGCGTTCCGCTAGAAACCGCCATTTTGAGATATTTTCTTGTGTTTGAAGTCATATCTCAGGTTTGGCAAATAGAAATTCGCCCAAAATCACACAGAATATTCGTCTCATAGCTATACAACTATCTGGAAAGTTTAAAGAAAATTTATCAGTAGGATCTCGAAATATGTGCCTGCGTTCCGCTAGAAACCGCCATTTTGAGATATTTTCTTGTGTTTGAAGTCATATCTCAAGTTTTGTACATAGAAATTCGCCCAAACTTGCTCAGATTATCCATCACATAGCCATACAACTATCTGGAAAGTTTAAAGAAAATTTATCAGTAGGATCTCAAAATAATCGACTTTTGTCAAATATCGTTCCGAAACCGCCAATTTGAGATGTTTTCATGAGTTTGAAGTCATATCTCAAGTTTGGCACATAGAAATTCGCCCAAACTTGCTCAGATTATCTGTCTCATAGCCATACAACTATCTGGAAAGTTTAAAGAAAATTTATCAGTAGGATTTCGAAATATGTGCCTGCGTTCTGCTATTCTGCTAGAACGCGCCAATTTGAGATATTTTCTTGTGTTTGAAGTCATATCTCAGGTTTGGCACATAGAAATTCGCCCAAACTTGCTCAGATTATCTGTCTCATAGCCATACAACTATCTGGAAAATTTAAAGAATATTTATCAGTAGGATCTCGAAATATGTGCCTGCGTTCCGCTAGAAACCGCCATTTTGAGATATTTTCTTGTGTTTGAAGTCATATCTCAGGTTTGGCTCATAGAAATTCGCCAAAAATCGCACAGAATATCCGTCTCATAGCCATACAACTATCTGGAAAGTTTAAAGAAAATTTATCAGTAGGATCTCAAAATAATTGACTTTCGTCAAATATCGTTCCGAAACCGCCAATTTGAGATGTTTTCATGAGTTTAAAGTCATATCTCAAGTTTGGCACATAAAAATTCGCCCAAACTTGCTCAGATTATCTGTCTCATAGCCATACAACTATCTGGAAAATTTAAAGAATATTTATCAGTAGGATCTCGAAATATGTGCCTGCGTTCCGCTAGAACGCGCCAATTTGAGATATTTTCTTGTGTTTGAAGTCATATCTCAGGTTTGGCACATAGAAATTCGCCCAAAATCACACAGATTATCCGTCTCATAGCCATACAACTATCTGGAAAGTTTAAAGAAAATTTATCAGTAGGATTTCGAAATATGTGCCTGCGTTCCGCTAGAACGCGCCAATTTGAGATATTTTCTTGTGTTTGAAGTCATATCTCAGGTTTGGCACATAGAAATTCGCCCAAAATCGCACAGAATATCCGTCTCACAGCGATACAACTATCTGGAAAGTTTTAAAAACATTTATCAGTAGGATCTCGAAATATGTGCCTGCGTTCCGCTAGAAACCCCCATTTTGAGATATTTTCTTGTGTTTGAAGTCATATCTCAGGTTTGGCACATAGAAATTCACCAAAAGTCGCACAGAATATCCGTCTCATAGCTATACAACTATCTGGAAAGTTTAAAGAAAATTTATCAGTAGGATCTCAAAATAATCGACTTTCGTCAAATATCGTTCCGAAACCGCCAATTTGAGATGTTTTCATGAGTTTGAAGTCATATCTCAGGTTTGGCACATAGAAATTCGCCCAAAATCGCACAGAATATCCGTCTTACAGCCATACAACTATCTGGAAAGTTTAAAGAAAATTTATCAGTAGGATCTCGAAATATGTGCCTGCGTTCCGCTAGAAACCGCCATTTTGAGATATTTTCTTGTGTTTGAAGTCATATCTCAGGTTTGGCACATAGAAATTCGCCCAAAATCGCACAGAATATCCGTCTCATAGCCATACAACTATCTGGAAAGTTTAAAGAAAATTTATCAGTAGGATCTCAAAATAATCGACTTTCGTCAAATATCGTTCCGAAACCGCCAATTTGAGATGTTTTCATGAGTTTGAAGTCATATCTCAAGTTTGGCACATAGAAATTCGCCCAAACTTGCTCAGATTATCTGTCTCATAGCCATACAACTATCTGGAAAATTTAAAGAAAATTTATCAGTAGGATCTCGAAATATGTGCCTGCGTTCCGCTAGAACGCGCCAATTTGAGATATTTTCTTGTGTTTGAAGTCATATCTCAGGTTTGGCACATAGAAATTCGCCCAAAATCGCACAGAATATCCGTCTCACAGCCATACAACTATCTGGAAAGTTTAAAGAAAATTTATCAGTAGGATCTCGAAATATGTGCCTGCGTTCCGCTAGAAACCGCCATTTTGAGATATTTTCTTGTGTTTGAAGTCATATCTCAGGTTTGGCTCATAGAAATTCGCCCAAAATCGCACAGAATATCCGTCTCATAGCCATACAACTATCTGGAAAGTTTAAAGAAAATTTATCAGTAGGATCTCAAAATAATCGACTTTCGTCAAATATCTTTCCGAAACCGCCAATTTGAGATGTTTTCATGAGTTTGAAGTCATATCTCAAGTTTGGCACATAGAAATTCGCCCAAACTTGCTCAGATTATCTGTCTCATAGCCATACAACTATCTGGAAAATTTAAAGAATATTTATCAGTAGGATCTCGAAATATGTGCCTGCGTTCCGCTAGAACGCGCCAATTTGAGATATTTTCTTGTGTTTGAAGTCATATCTCAGGTTTGGCACATAGAAATTCGCCCAAAATCGCACAGAATATCCGTCTCATAGCCATACAACTATCTGGAAAGTTTAAAGAAAATTTATCAGTAGGATCTCGAAATATGTGCCTGCGTTCCGCTAGAACGCGCCAATTTGAGATATTTTCTTGTGTTTGAAGTCATATCTCAGGTTTGGCACATAGAAATTCGCCCAAAATCGCACAGAATATCCGTCTCATAGCCATACAACTATCTGGAAAGTTTAAAGAAAATTTATCAGTAGGATTTCGAAATATGTGCCTGCGTTCCGCTAGAACGCGCCAATTTGAGATATTTTCTTGTGTTTGAAGTCATATCTCAGGTTTGGCACATAGAAATTCGCCCAAAATCGCACAGAATATCCGTCTCACAGCGATACAACTATCTGGAAAGTTTTAAAAACATTTATCAGTAGGATCTCGAAATATGTGCCTGCGTTCCGCTAGAAACCCCCATTTTGAGATATTTTCTTGTGTTTGAAGTCATATCTCAGGTTTGGCACATAGAAATTCACCAAAAGTCGCACAGAATATCTGTCTCATAGCTATACAACTATCTGGAAAGTTTAAAGAATATTTATCAGTAGGATCTCGAAATATGTGCCTGCGTTCCGCTAGAACGCGCCAATTTGAGATATTTTCTTGTGTTTGAAGTCATATCTCAGGTTTGGCACATAGAAATTCGCCCAAAATCGCACAGAATATCCGTCTCACAGCCATACAACTATCTGGAAAGTTTAAAGAAAATTTATCAGTAGGATCTCGAAATATGTGCCTGCGTTCCGCTACAAACCGCCATTTTGAGATATTTTCTTGTGTTTGAAGTCATATATCAGGTTTGGCACATAGAAATTCGCACAAAATCGCACAGAATATCCGTCTCATAGCCATACAACTATGTGGAAAGTTTAAAGAAAATTTATCAGTAGGATCTCAAGATAATCGACTTTCGTCAAATATTGTTCCGCGGAACAAATGGAACAGAAAGTCCAACTCGCAAAATATATCAAATTAATCGGGATGCAATGTGAAAACTGAAGTTACCCTCTGGTTTGACATCGCTGGCTCAACATAATCGACTCCAAAGCCTGCACGACGAGAGCATCTGGTAAAGTAACGCCAGCCTTTAGATGTGTCTCCATTTCTCTTGTGAGACTACTGGTGGGGAATTCTGTCACGAACTGCCTTACGGCTTCACCCGCTGATAAACACACGATACCATGATCTCTTTCCAGTCTTCTTGCCACTGAAATTACAATTTACAGGGTGAGTTGAAAATAGTGTGTGGAAAGTAAAAATCGATAATTTTTTTTATGAAGGAGCAAATTTTGAAAGGTGAATTGCTATCAGTTTATAAACTTTACATATTTCATTCTTGCCTCTCATTTGATTCTAACTCATAATTTGGTTGATTTTTGGCAGTTTTCCAAAAAATCTTAAATTCGTCCTAATGGGGTTCTCAAATTGTGTGCCCTGAAAATCGAGTCTAAAAATCTATATTCTCCTACATTTTTAAAGCAATCACCCTGAAACTTTCAGGATATGTTCTAGGGATCATTTAAAAGAGATGAGCCAGACAAAATTTTGAGAAAGGCCTTTTAAAAAATTTTATTCGATTTTGAAAATCGTCGACCTCAAAAAATCATCAAAAAACGAGGTCCAAGATTTTCAAAATCGAATAAATTTTTTTAAAAGGCCTATCTCAAAATTCTGTCTGGCTCATCTCTTTTAAATGATCCTTAAAACATATACTGAAAGTTTCAGGGTGATTGCTCAAAAAATGTAGGAGAAAATAGATTTTTAGACTCGATTTTCAGGGCACGCGATCAAAAATCGCTCGCGCAATACAATTACCACACACGCGCTGACCTTTGACCGGCAATAATTTCGGCTAGGAACGATATTTTTCCACGGCATCAAAAGCATCTGACAGATATTACTCCCCTCTATCAGAAACAACTAACTAAAAAGTCGACTTTGAGACAATTTCCATGAAGACCCCCCTGCCCCCATAATACAGTCAAGTCGGCTATAGACAATTGTCTTACACGTTATCAATATGTCCTAACTAATAAAGGACGATGGGTTGAGCAAATTATTAATTATTAAGTATTTTAATTGTATTATTATAAAAAGTATATATTTTCATTACCTAAATATGCAAAAATTAAGTGGAAATTTCATTTGTCAAAAAAATTAGAGCCATTTACTTTCCACACACTATTTTCAACTCACCCTGTAAGTATAAACATAAAGGTGCATTCTTCCTAGAGAAGTTAGACCTGCAATGTCAAAATAATCAATCGAAATTTATTAGTAATACCAAAGAAAGAGAAAACAAACTTACACATCGTTTTTCCAGATTTTGGAGGTCCGACCAGTGCTAATTTGACCGGAACTACGGGAGGTGGTGAGTCCAGTTTCAAATAGTGTAGCGGATTGTCCATGAACTTCTGTCGGTTTTCAAGACTGGACATAAAGTAAGTGTGAGCTCTGAACACCACGGGATAGGTCAGTCTTCCAGGAGCTTGATAGGGCTGTATCGCACAGCCCGATTCCAACTGAAATAAGGAGTAAGGTATTTAAATCTCAGTCACCTCTTCCAGATTATTTAGCGTTGCCTTAAATGTTAAAATACAATTATCAATATCACAGAATCATTACATAAATGTGGTTAATTCAGAGAAAGAAACAGTTACCTCTACAGGATCCCATCTGCCAAATCTGCTACTCTGTTTATACCCTCTAGCGAGCATTTCGTTAGCTTGCCTAGCCCTGACAGCTAAACATTGCGAGAAGAGGCTCTCTCTGAAATCAGTTATAGACCGGAGTTGTTGACAGAGGGAGTAAAACACAACTTTGGGTTTACGAGATGCGTCTATCAACATACGTGGAATATTCAAATCCTCCAGTGTGTTCTGAAAAATAAATAATCAGGAGTTAAGACCTTATCCTATTTCTCATACAAATTTTGCAGAAAGCATAGTTTGTTTGTAGAGGGAAACTCCAAGAATCATAAGTCGACAGAAGATTATGAAAAGAACAAAAAAATAGCTTTGCGACGAACCTGTAGTTGAGATATAACTTGCATGTCGGTATCGTATCTGTCAGATATTTCTCCCCTGATCCTATCAACTGCTTCCTCTTCAGTCTCGTCATCTTCCTCTCCCATATCGTCCTCATCGTCTTCATCTTCCTCGTCTACATGGTTATGGTATTCAATTAGCGAAGTTTAAAATAAACTAGAAGTTAATAAAATATGGCGGTGGAATTGTGCCCTCTTACGATCCAACTAGCCCGAAATAGAATTTCCGACCAAAATTTTATCATTTAAGCGTGAAAAAGTAAACTACCTGACAGAACGACGTCTTTAAGCCCAATCTCCGGTTCTTCTTCACTTTCTTCACCGTCACTTTCTGGCACTTCGCCAAATTTAGCAGCTTCCTCCTTCTCTTTTCTCCTTTCTTCAAGTCTCACCTCACGTTCCGCTTTTAGCTCCCCAAATTTCTCTTGGATCTTCTTCTTTCTTTCTTTTTCCTTGACGATGGGAAGCATGTTAGAAAGTCTCAATTAATATATCTTAGCTTTCTAAAATTAATAAAAACATAGAGTATTCAACAAATTAATCATTTCAACCGGTGATTGACCCACCTTCTTTATCCTCCTTCTCTCCATATGCCTTTGTCTTCTAGCCAGTTTCTTAGCCATCTTATTCTTCCACTTCTGCAGTTTACCCGGAAGTTGTCTGTCACCAGCTTGCTCATCTTCCACCTCCAGTATGATACAAGCATCAGGGAACAATCCTGTGTCTGTCATAAAGGTTGCTTCTTGAGGGGTCGGGGGAATCCTTCTAGAATAAATCCAGTTTCTCTGAAAGGGGAAGTTTGTTGTAAAGTTTATATCGACGTAATTGGATATATTTTTAGATTAAGAAAATAATTTGTAGCATTATACAGTGTCATTTAAATCGTACAAACTTGGGTCTTTGTTGAAAACCCAATACAGACTGATCTCTTTAACAAAATTATACTCAACAGCACTATAACTCATACGCTGCATTATCTCAATTTACGATCAGAGATAAGAGAGCTCAAAATGAGTAAAAACAGCGATTACAAATGCCACGACATGGATATGATAAGATTCGAAATAATTTTGAATGGTTGTTACCTTGTTATGTTGAACAAATGTTGAACTTACTTGAAGGGGTTTTCAGTCCACCACGATACAACGATCTGGTCAAGAATCTCAGGAGGTAACGCTTCTCCCTCAACTAAACTGCTATGTACCGCTTCCTCCAGCTTAGACAATTAAACTTGTTATGACACTAGTGATAGCGAACTTGAAGTCATTATTCAATCATTCAAATCGAAAAGATTAATGAATATTTTGTTGGAGTCATGAGCGTAACCAAGAATCCATAAAATTATATAAATTTATCTTACCTCGCTCAAGGCCTCTTCTGCGTCCGCCTCTTTCCCGGTTCTCTTAGCAATCAGAGCACGTCTAACTTGGAGAGCCTTCTCAAACTGAGCGACTGTGTTTTCAGTGAACTCAGCCACAAGGTAATCTTTACCAGAGGGTGTTTGGAGCACACTGTCATCTAGATCCACTGCTTTAGTGTCTGAAATGTGGGTAGAAAGTTTGCTACTCGTTACATTGGAGAATGTTTGTTGAAGGTGTATACCGAAATAGGGCAAAATTTGTAACATGTTTGTTTTGTAGTCTGATAGTCAAGCGATTATTTTAACTTCCTTAAAATTTAGACACACACCTTATAGAAAGACTAGTTGAAATGCAAACGGTTAGGTCAACTGATGGCATAGATATTGAGCAGGATGTTCGACAGAAAAATGTTTAAACTCACTTTTGGCAATCTCGAGCGCAAGTTTCCTTTCTTTAGTCTCCTCGTCGTCTTCATCATCGTCATCACCCTCATCAGGTGATGCAGGGGGCTCTTCCTCATGATCACTTTCCCACGCTCTCACCTTGACCTGAATAAGGACCAGGGAGTATTACCAGTTGATAAATAATAGCTCTCATCTTCACTTGACTTTAGAGGTATAACCTAGTTGATACCAAAAGTATTATAATTGTAACAATATCTACATCGTAATATCCTTAATTTCTGGAACATACCTTTGGAATGATCATCTCCTCCAAGAATTTGTGGAATGAAATATGGAAGAGTCCTAGCTTTCGAGCTAGAGATCGTCCTTGTTCAGTTTTGCCACATGATTTAGGTCCAAGAATGCAGAGGCGTATTGGTGGTGGCTGAAAACATAAGCTGGTTAGATTGTTGTTAGCTATTTTATATTTTCATACAATGAAAGAGTCAAGCCCGATTTAGCGATTTCATTTTTAATATCAGCGGGAAAGTCTGACAGTATCAAATTATTCACATTATGGGATTTTGAATGACCTATCATCGATTACTAATTTGAATATTTTAGAAACTTGTTGAAATATGTATAATGTACTAGAGGCCTAATCTGTTCACACTGCGAGTTTATCATGTTTACGTTTTGTGTGCTATTCGGCGACAATTTCTGCCCGTTTATAAACGTACTAGGATTCGTCTAGTACGAGTATTGTTTACCAATAAGAATTTTTTTAAAGTGTATTTCTTAGGATTTGATTTACTATACTTTTTATATTATTATGGTATTATTATATTGTTGTGAACCTGGTCACACAACTGCCCGAATCAACATCAACAAGTTGTCAACAACAACTGTACAATCTAATTCAGAAATTGTATTGTAAAACTCCAGCCCCTTCCACTTCTGATTCGATGTTTTCAAAATTTAAAGGAGTTGGAAAAAATGTTCCACACATCAGTTTCGTCTTTCGTGCATTTACTGAACAAATTTTGTATTTGTAAGTTAATTTTACGTTACCAAATGACGTTTACCAAATGAATGTTACATTGTCATGCAGTAAGTGGTCCCATTTAACAGTTGTAACTTGACCTGCAGTTACAGTTTGTAACTTGACCCGTAAATCGCCCACTCCACCTCACTCCACCTCACAAAGAGGTGTGCTGGCACTTTTACTTGACATGCTATTTGCACGAAGTTTGTTTGCTATTTTTCACCTAGTCAATAAGACCCGATTTCGAGTTTAAACTCTTATAAAATATTCTAAAATCTTTACGATAGACTTATTTTTTAATGAAAATCTTTTCTTTAGTTAAGTGTTACGAAGACATGGCGAACAAAGATTACAGCAGATTCTTCAACGATCCTACATTTCCCTACAAAGTGACAGCATGTTTTGGAACCGAACGTATCTTCTGTTCCGGGGTCTTGCTATGCCAACAGAGCGAAGTACTCGAAAGAAAAATCAGAGAAGATGGTGGTGTTTTAATGCTCGATGAGTTTCTAGATGTTGAGAACAGTGAGAGGGTTCTCGTTGAGTGTCTCATGTTCCTTCATGGAGCGACTTTAGTGTTTTCATCCGCCAACATTGATGTTATATTCAAGTTTGCAAGTTGGTATAAGATCAAGGAATTAACAGAGAAGGCGTTGCAGTGGTTGAAAGAGGACCATGAAGAATATGATGTTCTTATTGATATAACAGAAGTTTTGCATTGGCTCAAGCTATCAAATTGTCTTGACACTGAGGAGTTGGATGGGCTGAAACAAACAGTACTTTCTATTATTGGGCAATCCACTAATGTTATAGATTCAGGGATAGAAGTCGACTCAGGTATAGAAACTCTGACTGGAGACGATTGGGTGATGATGTTAGAGCAGTGCCCCAAACAATTCAAAAGATGTTTTAAAAAGTGGATATCACTTTCATCTTGTAATATAAAATTTGTCCTGGAAAACCATGTTTTTTTCCGTTTTAACTCAATTTTTCTGGACGAGAAAGAATTTTCCGGATTTATCAACACCTTATCAGGAGCAGACGATCTTTCAGCCGAGAATTATAAAATCTTGCTGAAATTACAAAATGATTATTTCAACCCTGCTAGATGAAGACTTTATGAAAACAATAATCTTGCACGAAGCTGCTCAAAAGGCTGTTCTTGAATCTGAAGAGTCAGGGAAATACCAGGAAACAGATCCGCTGCACGACGATCTGCCAGTGAGTTCAGGACATTTGGACTGGACACTTGAAGAAGATAAGTCACTTCCCGGTCCAAGTAATTGGCAAAAAGAAGATGGCCAGGAACCTAGTTCCAGTGAGCTAGCAAACATGCCTGACACAATATTTGTAGGAAATCTTCCTCAATTTGCTAACAGCGGAGAGATCACACATCTTTTTGCCAGCCCCATCGGACAAATAAGAAATGTGTCATTCAGAAAGGGTCGAGGTCGTGGACGTTCAAACTATGCTTTTGTGAACTATACAGACCCACGAGCAGCAAGAGCTGTAGTGGATTGCTATAGACAGCACCCAGCTCAGTATACCATAGGAAATAGACAGTTGCACGTGAAACTTAAGATGATTGAGATGATTGAGATTACATTTTTAAATAAGCAGTAAATAAGCAGTATAAGCCCTGAAAATACATGTATGATGTATGTATTCGAAAAAATATACACGACATTTATTTAAAGAGGATTCTTTATTTGGGGAGGCTTGGTAATTTTATTTTACTTTATTGATTTATTTCATAAGACAACTTTAATTATATGTTTTAATAAATAAATTCTCAGTTTTTTTTTCATGATCTTACTCCGTTTCATTTCGAGAACAGCTGAGTTTGATATAGTTAATATAATTGATAAGGCAGGTGCAATAAAGTTAGTCAGAAATTAGACATCAGCGCTAGACAACGTCTGAAGACTAACAGTAAGGACATTAATTCTTTATTTACCATCTTATTACAAGCTCAACTTAATCAACTTGACGTCTGAACAGGGCCGCAGGAGCTAATGTTATAATTAGCACGTGGCAAAACTTTAAAACTTAAGTTTATTAGTTTTCTCATTCCCCACGTACTGGCTTCATAAATAGATAGATAAGAGCAAACTGCTCTTCAGCGGCAAAGTGGTAGAGTGGCAGGGCCACCAGTCAAACTTAATTAACAATAGTTTCTTCACCACAGAAGTAGGATCATATTTAATTTCCTCTTTTTAGAGGGGCATTGTAATTACCATGCAACGTCACTCGACCAGGTTTGGGATGGTTCTTGGTTATTAGCTTCAACGTTCTAGCTCTAGTTCAGTATGTGATAGTAGGACTGGTGTGTGTTTTATATTTTGTTAGTGATCGCCATCAGAACTCAGAAGCTTCGTACAGTATACTTTGTGTCATACTTTAATTATATAATCTGTCACAGATGACACCCTGTGATTTACTTACCAACAGCGCACGTATTCTCGCGTGTTCACGTGAGCGCTCTTATAATCATGATCAGTATAGTGAATCTGATTGTATCATTTGGAGTGCCTCCCATATAATGTTTCTATCCTTCACCTTCGTTTCTAAGATGAGTTTTGTTGCAACGTTGCGGTCAGATGTTATTATCGAATAAGTGTGTGTAATTGTCTAATAAATGAGCTTCGTATAATCCAAACATTCTATATCGGCTAACTAGTCACTAATACCTCTTACAAGAATAATAATTCTTGTTAAGTTTCAAATAAAGCAGCTGAGAACATTATAATAACCGTCATTCTGGCCTGTTACAATTATTGAATACGTAATAAGCTACTCTGCAGTTTATAAGAATGATTAGAATACAAGTCACTCTACTGATAATCATACTCTCAATGGCAAGTACTGAAGGTATGTTTAATGTTTATCAAACTTAAAATCTCAAAATTGGACATTTTCTGTGAGCAAATTGGCTATTTTCTGTGACCAAATAGTTCATAGATGATCAGTTAATAACAACTCACGATGGTATAAAGTAAACATGTTGTCTCGAATGTTTTTATTCATTCTACATATTTTTTTCACATCATTACTTTTTAGAAACCCAGTACAGTGAGTGGATCCCAGTTCCTGAGGATAAGAGCACATTTGTAAATGAAATAGTTGAGGGTAAGAGGTTCCAGATACAGACTGATAAGAAGATAGATGGATCTAACGATATCAGATGGTATATGAGAGGAGTAGGCTGGTTCACATTTACAACAGCAACTATTGGGGCTGCTAAATGTGTTGCTTACACTCTAACAGGAACAGAGGGATTCCTTCAACGAGCTGGTGTTCTGACCTTCCTGAAGACTACCACTCAGTTGCAAGTCTGGTTTGATGATGTTCTGGAGGTCACGTGGGTATATGAGGATAACAGTGAAAGTGCCACGTGTGCAATGAAGAACAAGATGACAGGATTGAGATTTAAGGCATCAAATAAGATCGATAAAGTCTCCACACACTACAAATATGAACTTGGTAATTCATCCCAATTATCCTTTACAATAAAAAGTGATGATTTGGGAATATTTGTTTTGAAACCATATTCACGTTGATGACGTTCAATAAGTTCTCATGTAAATATAAACTATTCGTTTTAACTCTCCAGATAAGGAACAATGTACTGGTTTGGATCCAGCCTGGAGTCAGCTCACAACAGAAGCAACATTCCCGGTAGAAGCAGGAACAGTGCTGACAGTGTCATGTGAAGAGGGGTTCCTACTGAGAGGCAGCAACACTATCACTTGTACTGAGGGTACAACCTTCTCCAGTGTCACAACTCCAACATGTGTAAAGTTAGGTGAGTTTCAGATCTTTAAAAGCTAAATTAATACTATATTAAATTAAAATATCAACCAATATGAAGCTGAGCGCTGATGTGATGGCTAGAGCATGAAAAATATAAGTTCGCAGGAGCTTATCAGGGCTGGGCTATTCAAACTTTAAGTTTCACTTAACATAGATATCTATAAAACAAGACTATTGAAAAGTAAATTGAAGATCTTTTTAACCGTTTAGCAAACTTTGTCAGCGTGGAAGACTCTTCGAGATAGTACCTGATATGTGAAGCATCTGTTGTGTAAATGCCTTTAAATTGTACATGGCGAAGTTTTTGATAATTACTAACAAGTTATTGATTTAAATTCCCAGAAAGTGCCTAACTGACAAGCAGTGAAGCAGGACCATAAAATGATTGAAACAATTGAGATTAGTAAGCAAACAACTCGATTCATGATATAGATAAAACTATCCCAATGATCGGTGCTAATTTGTCACTGCCAAATTATACGTGTCGGTATCTACTATCTATGTCACGAAACGACAGTTTGCTCACTAATTCTGATTGCTTCAATTGTTATCTTAATTCCCCGACCAAACGATCACTCTTAAAATGG